GATGCCCTCTGATGTTTCTTGCCCGAAACCAAAATATTTGGAAGGAAGCTAGATAGCCTTGTAGTTACAGACCGGGATCTCGTCGAATGACCTGTCTCTAACATTAAACAGAGGTCATCAAAAATGTTGTTTACAATTTGCATCAGCTTTGATGACATGTTCTACATTCGAAACCAGACCCTTAATCCTACCAAATCCACTTCTTCTTTTCAAATATGAAAACCTTTTATGTCGCCTTGACATTTGGCACAACCATGACCTCTGCCATGTGTCCATTTGGATCCTATGAGTGTACACTCACACATGATATTCTACTAAGTCTATACTACGACACCATTGGTGCCTTGTAATGATTATGTTTAGTCAGTTTTACTTTTTCGCTTCTCAAAATTTTGTGCACATGTTTTTAGCAAAGTCCAGTACAACCACTCTGTTAGAAAAGGGTTATTTTTTCATGTTCTGTTACCTCATTACAAATCTCTTTTAAGTTGGAGATTATTAATTTTCACCAAAAACACCATTTAGACGACAAAACTCGCGGAGTTTGTGATTCGCTCTTCATTGCGACGATAAATCCTCTGCCGACCATCATGGAAGGACAAATTGAATCTGCTTTCATCTGTGAAGAGCACACGAGATCATTGACGTTGATTCCAGCGGCCATGATGTCGACTCCATCTCAAACGCGCCTGCCTGTGACGTGTTGGTAGTGGTAGACGAACTGCAGGTCGCCTACAGCGGAGTCCGGCTGTCCTTAAATGTCGACGACTGGTGCTCCTGGATATCCTTACATTTTTAACATTGAAGAGTTCTGTTTGAAGATCTGCTACGCTAACGAATCTGTTACATAACGCAGTGTTAATCATGTGCCTATCTTCTCGGACTTTTGCGACTCTGGGGCGACCTGGTCGACGTGCATATTCCAGGGACCCATTGGCTTGAGATCTCTGCCACACTCTACCAATAGCACTCTGGCTCACATTAAAGCAGACAGCAATCTGCCTCTGAATTTGACCAGATTCCAAAAGTCCTATTGCCTGACCCCTCTCAGCAAGTGTCAAATAACGGCCCAATTTAGGCTGCGATTTCAAAGAGGTACCTGAACAGTGACCGACAGTGAAAGAGCATCAATGTATGTGTACTGTCCTCCACTTTCCATGGATAGAGCGACTTGCACGTGCAAATCATTGTGGCAGGTGGATTTCCATATTGACAATTCAAATAAACAACGTGCCATTTGTAAGAGAATATACGAGACGTTAGAGAACGAAATAATGCCATTTCAACTGCCTGATGTGTTTTTTCCATACTGTTAAGACAGTTTGTAAAACATTCAGTTGTATATATTTCACACAAAACGGCGGTTTTACAACTTTTAAGAAAGAGTGGTACCAATAGCTTGACCCCTCATTAATGACGCCGAGTATATTACAGACGCAGAACGATGGTGAGATCGTGCAGTTTCTGTATCTATTCAACACAGCAGAATGACACTGAACAAGGCTCACCACTAAAAGCCGGGGTGAGCTTTTCTTTAGGATGCTGGCTTGCACGAACCAATAGCTTTATGCGGATATCGTGTTCGCGGTCTCCTGGATAGACGCTGTGAACGGGTCCAACATTGAGTGTATTTCTGACACTATTGCGGGACATTGTTTTTGGACATTTTGCGTGCACTTTCCGACACTTTTAGGAACTATGATTAAGAAAAATTACGTTTTAAAACAATGTATTTATATATAACTGATAACCTTTTTCTTTGACATTTCACTTACATTTCACATTTCTCGGGATAATGTATGCGGACGTTTAAGGTTTCCTTCGCATTATTTTCATCCCATTCATTTAAAAACCCTATTTTGATGTATACATTTGGAAATATTCGACTGCAATAGTAACTGTGCATTATTTGATGTTATGCCATTTCTTAAAGCAAAAAGATAATAACCTGAATTGTGGTGTTTAACAGTTGACAAGATAATATCGAAATCTGTATGATTTGACACTAGGCATGTGGTCTCAAAAGTCCGTTCATAAATTCAGTATCGTGTGTATCCACCATTGACAACGACGATGCATAGACGACACTCAGCACCGATAAGGGGCAGGACTGGAGAAACAGCTGGCCATGGGAGAACCGAAATGTTCTGCTGTCTCAGGAAATCTGTCACAACACGAGCGACATGTGGACGGGCATTATCGTGCTGAAGCGTGAAGTTACGTCACTGTCCTTGAATGAATGGCTGCTCATGAGGCCCAATGAACTCACCCCTGCATCGCCCTCAGATTGCATTTGACAATGACAAGTTGTGTCCGACCATGTGATGTGATTACCCTTCCATACCGTAGAGCCACGCCATCAAAACCGTCAACGTTACATCCTTGCCCTGATATCTGAGCTGTCCAGATGAAATGTCGACTCGTCATTGAACAAAACACCATCCCAATCTTGTCTCCAGTAGACTGTCTGCACTAGGCATGACGTGCCTGTCGGTGACGTTTAAGCAAAATTAGACGTATTGCATGCCGTCGTGGCCGGATGTTGTGCTCCCTCAGTCGTTTGTGTACAGTCAAGGAACTGACTGGACGTAAGCCAGGAATGGTCTGAGCCGTCAAACTCGCAGTTTGAAATCGATTCCTTAGATGGGTCAGCCAAATGTGGCTGTCTTGCTGACGTGACTTCAAGTGTGGACGACCGGTCCAAGGCAAATCTCTCGTGTTGCCATTATGTTGAAAACGTCTCCATAGAGAGGTACTTTATCAAAGTACCTAAAACCTTATACTACGCGCATTCCGATCAGTTTGTCGAATTTCCGCACATAACATTTATCGACAGGAGTCTTCTTGGAGGTTAGGGAAAGGGCCGAGTGGTGACGAATGATTTTCAAGGAATCGGAAAGCTCTCTAAACGAGCACCCTTCGCTTGGGTGAAGTTTGCTGGTCTGAAAAGTGAAACAGAAGGCTTTCTGCTTACATTTCCTACTCGTAACCGTCAATATGCGATTTTGCATCAAATTAAAAATAGGAAAGGTAGATTATGTACTGAATTTATAAGACTGTCTTACACCTTTTTAGCGGGTCCAAACACAGTAGCATAAGAGACATGATGACGTGGCTCGGTCCTATTGTTACTGTCTTAGCCTTACCTCTGGCATTAAAATCGCTCCATCCATGGTACGGCCCAGATTATGTAGAGGAAAATTACAATTCATAAAATTCTTTAGAATAAGCCTTTTTACTGCCACAGGCCTACCAAAGTGATCATAACTGACCTTGTCTCTTTTTGTAATAAAATTATGTACATCGTTGGATATGTTTCTCAGGAAAAAGCATGGCAAGTATGCCGACCTCACTCACTCAGGTGCGGTGGGGTAGCCTAATATGCCGAAGACCCGGGTTTGATTCCCCACATGGGTACACTGTGTGAAACCCATTTCTGGTGTCCCCGCCGTGATAGTGCTGGAATATTGATAAAAGCAGCGTAAAACTAAACCCACTCACTCACCTACGAAATGTTACAAGACAACTTGATGCTTGGAATGCAAGTGTGACATTTCGTAAGTGAGTGAGTGGGTTTAGTTTTACGCTGCTTTTATCAATATTCCAGCACTGGTCTTGGTGCCTTAGGTTTGGTACCTCTATTGACTGACACTGAGAGAGTACCTGGGTCAACTGTCAGGACCACAGGGCAATACGGAGTTCTAAAACAATGTAAGGGAGTCTTCACATGCTCCGAAACGTTCTTGGTAGGTTCAACTAGGCCGCGCTTCCCGTGAGAAGTCGCATTCATTGGGCAAGTTTACAGTCACATGACCACGTCATACGCCCGGCCTCCATAAGACACGACGATGATTACATAGCAAGACTTAGCCTGATTCTGCTGGCGTCCAGGAAAACATCAACTTTCTGAACAAACAATGGAATGATTTATTTCAGAAGCACATAAACAAATTAGGTAAAAGTCATTTGAATACAGATGTGTGTATGTGTGTGTGTGTGTGCGCGCGCTTGTGTGTACATGTGTGTGTGTGTGTCTGTCTGTCTGTGTGCGTGCGTTTGTGTTAACAAGCGTCTTAATGGGTTGGGCTGTCAGGTTCAGAGATATGATCATATCGACAGCATAAGACGAAACGCCGGTTTGTCTGAAATCACTGGTATCGTAAACAGCAAACATAGATATTTTCCACGTTGCTTACAAAACTTATTAAAATCACTCATACTACAGTTATGTTCACAGTATATTTAGTCGAAATATAGTTGGAATCGTAATACCTGGTGTGATACTTTACACGACTTCCCGGAACCTATTAGAAACAGAAAATGGAGTCCGCCGGTTTGAAGAGATATTTCTAAGAAAGGTGTCTGAAAATCTTGATCTATATTAATCCTGCTTCAATTAAACAACCTGTAAATGACGTCTAAATCAGGCACGCAAGTGGCTAAAACACTGAACACTGACATGCCGTCATCTTGCCTTCTCAGTTGGTTACCATGGCAACGGAATTGCGAATATATACATGGATGGTGGTCATATTTGTGATTCTCTCCTTTGCCGAAAACCTGCTTCGAGCATTTCGCAAATGCATTTATGTTTATGCGCTGTGGGATGCCTGTTGACCAAAGACGGTTTCAAATGTTTGCTAAACAGTATGTCATAATTTCTTTCCATGAAATGGAGCATTATACGTTTAACAGCGTTTCCTGTGTCTCCCTGAAATTAAAAAATGGATGATTATTTCTAACAAGCAGGGCAGAGTTTATGAGTGAGCTAGGTTTAAATTCTGCATTTAACAGGACATTCACAGGAATATCAAAGAAACTAAACGCCCGAGACAGGTAAAATATATACCAATGAGAAAATAGTGTTCTGTTTTCTTTGTTTGTTATTCTTCCACGCAACATTCTAGCTATAAGACCGCATTTTGAAAGAAATCGACTCTGGACCAGATAATTTAGTGATTGATATCATGAGCATCGATCTGCGCACTTATCTAGGATACGATGACTTGCATCAACCAAGTCAGCGAGTCTGACAACCCAATCCCATCAGTCACCTCTTACGAAAAACATTACATGAATTTCAAATCATATGGGAACGAATTATATAATACCAGCGATGCTATTTAATGAGTTATCAACCTTATCCCATGCCTATGGATCCTTAAATGCATAATGTATGAATATAAATATGTATGAATAAAAATATGCAAAATATTAAAATCTCCGAAAGACATTTCACACTCCTATCATAATCCCATATGTGGAAACCGTATTTTGAAGTATTTTGAAAATTAAAAGGCAAACATTTGTCTGTCAAGTCATTCACCTTTGATCATATGTCAATGAAACAACACGTTTTAGTGGACATGTTTGGAATAATGATATTTGCCACTGTTTGCATGCATAAATACTTATATAATTATGAATCGAAGCGGTAGCTGAAATGTGAACGTTCTGGATCAGGCAAATATATTCCGTTCAAAACTTATCGATGCCTCGAAGCCTTAAAACGATCTCTGATAGACATGTGGTAGACAAGTATGAAGCACTGGTGGCAAACATGAAGTCAAATACAATTTCTTATATTCTAATGATTCAGTATCTTTTTTTCTGGCGAACAATTGTCCTGCCTTTGCAAGTGTTTCTGACGGATACCACTAGTGTGGCAGACTCAACTTTTCTTGTACACCCGCTGTTAGTGATTCAACAACACTTATTATGAGATGAAAACTTTCTCATGAATTTTCACAATAAAATGTTTTCTGTCGGTTGTATTGCCACTGACGTCTTGAGGTATTTTCAGGTCACAATTCCTTACCTCTCTGACTCTGTCTGTGGATGTTTCACCAACCTCACGTGATCCGTCAATGATGTCACATAAGTATTTCTGAGAACAGACAGCACGTAGGGTTAGCAGTGGTATGTGAAATTACAATTGGTGCCACACATTACATCTGAGAGGACACTAGATAAGGTGTCACATATATCAAGGCAGGTACCGGATTACAACTGACAGCACACACTACAACCAGTGTCACAAATTACATAATGTGTGATATATATCAAGGCAGGTACCAGATTACAGCTGACAGCACACACTACAACCAGTGTCACACACTACATAGGGTGTCACATATATCAAGGCAGGTACCAGATTACAACTGGTGTCACACACTACAACTGGTGTCACAGACTACATGGGGTGTCACACATCTCAAGGCAGGTACCAGATTACAACTGACAGCACACTCTACAACTGGTGTCACACACTACATAGGGTGTCACATATATCAAGGGTGTACCAGATTACAACTGGTGTCACACACTACAACTGGTGTCACACACTACAACTGGTGTCACACATCTCAAGGCAGGTACAAGATTACAACTGGTGTCACACACTACATAGGGTGTCGCATATCTCAAGGCAGGTACCAGATTACAACTGGTGTCACACACTACATAGGGTGTCACACATCTCAAGGCAGGTACCAGATTACAACTGACAGCGCACACTACGACTATCATCACACATTACAACCTGCGGCACATATACAAAACGACGACACACATATAAAAATCGACGTCACACGATACACCTTTTGTCACACATGACATCTGACATCAGACATTTCAAATACATCCATACCTTCAGTGATACTTACACTATCACTATTCTATCAAACCAATTTGACACTTACCATACATGGCTGTAAGTTGTAATACATGACATCCAACTGAAGGCAAGGTTAAGGAAAGACACAGGCTTTCCTTAACGCATGAAGCTGGCTGATAATTGGGTTGTTTTAACTGTTTGCTTTTGGATATATAATTTGAGCTCACAATACTGACATGAGAGTGCTGCCAAAGTATAAAAGTTTGAGACAAGACATGGTGTCGTCAACGATTTTCAGTGACCTATTCATGTACGTTTTACAGCTATTATGCCTGCGCACCAAGACGAATCTTCTGGGAATAGTGAAGACTAGGTATTCTTTTTATATTAGAACCATTGAAGGGTTCTGGGAACCATGGTAGAGAAGAAACGATGTTGCTGCTGCTGCTGCTGATGATGATGATTTTCAAAAGGATACATTTGGTTCAAACTCTCTTGATACTGATCGATATACACTAGTATAGTTGATGAGAATATTTGTCTCAAAAACATGCTTTATGGAATATGCTCGCAGTCGAGCTCTCAATCTCCTTTCCATCTGTAAAACCAACAAGCATGTACATGAAACCTGACGTCATGAGATGTAAAATAAAGAAGACAATGTAATGACTAACATGTCAAACGTGGAGGACTGAATGGCAGAGGTTAACTTCGATAAATACAAGCCGAGAGGCTGAAGTAGTATCAATAGCACACACACCTCTCACACGTGTATATGCACATGGCAAAGAAGGAGGAATGGATGAACATATTGGAGTGAGTGGGTAAGGTTTTACGCCTCTTTTTAGCAATATTCCATCAATGTCACGCCGGGGGACGCCATAAATGGGCTTCACACATTGTACCGTAACGTATCAAGAGACATGACGGGAGCAGAAAGTTAGAAATGGATATCGAGTATTACATTATTGCTAAAATGCACAGTGGACGTGTCTGTTAGTTTAACGCCGGAGTTATTCATTATTCAACATCGGACCAGAGTCAGTTTACTGTCTGAGTGCAATATTCATAAACGGAGCAGTTAAACCTCATTCCACTTTGCCTCTGCTTGTCAGTGAGAAATATTTCATCACAGCGGGGACACCAGAAATGAATTTCACAAATTTATTCTAGGATGGGGAATCAAACCCAGGTCTTCGCCGGAGCACTTTAACCACTTGGCTCCCCCCCCACAGCATCCTACATAGGTCAAGAAAGTCTCATGTACTTACAATCAATCTTACAACCAAGAGCAGACTAGGGCCGGACAAAGTCATCAACAAACTGGACGCCAACGCCAATGCGACCACCCAGACATCGCCTATCTTTGTATTCACCAATACTTCAATGATGCAGAGCAGTAGCAGCAATAACACAAACAAGAATATTAAGCTGCTCGCGGAAACGACTACCAAGTGACCAAGGGCTGGATAAACGATGGAATAGTTTTTCATGAAGACAGAGCTGTTGGCAATATCCTTTGCCCCGTAATAAACCCTCTCAGCAACCTGAAACAAATGTAAATGTATTTAAGTCCTAGACATATCAGAGTCTCTGTTTCAAATCAATTTATCCGATTTGTACATTTGTAATCACATATAGCCGTAAACATCGAAAGGGCAATACCGTCACATGGTTACGAAGAAGTGATACAAATACCCATAGGCGATTACAGTTTCTTTACACCAACCCTAACTTGTGTACTAGCATAAATGTTTAACGGATATTTCTCGTTGATATTGAAATGATTAAGAAACAATCGGAATTTCGAAATATAAAGAGAATATTTCGAGGTTTTATTATAGAAAATATGACAGAACTGTTAGTTCGTTATGTCATGTGTTCGTTTTAAACGTAGTTTCTGTACCTTGGTTCCAAGTTGGCGAAGCTGGTTGCGCTCGTGCTGCTTGAGATCTCGAAAAGACCAAGCAGGTCCCCGGAAGAAAGATTTAAGATTTTTTTTTCCAAGTATGTTGACAACACCTCCATTTTTTTGTCCTTGAAAATGAACATATGAAAACATTAACTTTATCGAATATTACAGTTTGATATTGCTGATGAGACTTTCAAATATGTCATTTTGTAACAGTGAGCCACGATTTCTGTTGAAAACATTTCAATCTTCAAACTGGCTACGTACACCTTTACATTTTCGGCTGATTTCCCTCACCTTTTTCGTTTTTCCAATGATCCAGCATGCTCAGGACAAGACATTCAAAAGTGCCTGGAAAGAATAGAATTTAATCACAAGACACGGAGGCCGACTAACACATTGCTAAATGAATCAAATTTGGCAATAGTCCTACTTGTCAGGAATATGCCTATTGGCGATCTACTAATGCGGACGACGTGGCTATTCCACTGAATACAGACAGCATGAACCTTACATATACTCATTCAAAGAAATATGGGAACACTGGTTTACTTTTTGATAAGTTAAGAACGTCTAATGAAATCAAAGCACAACTAATGTCCATGAATATGACAGGTTTTTTTAGAACATCATGAGATGTATAGCACAAAAACATTCAACCGAATGAAAAAGAGTCAGTTTGCAAAGTCACAGAGTCAATTGCAGATCAGTAGTGCGTGTGTCCCCCTCTGCTTCTGACACACTCTGCACATCTAGCACTCATCGAACTCACTAATGTCCTCAGTGATGTCTAGGTTATTGCTTGCCACTCCTGGTCCAGAAATCTGAACAGTTGGTCAGCATTCACTGGCGGAGGATGATTCTGATGAATACGCATAGCAAGGATGTCCCAGACATGCTCTATAGGGGCAAGGTCTGGAGAATATGCTGGCCACTGCATCCTCACAACACCTCTTTGATTGAGGAAGTCTGTAACCACACATGCCCAATGTGGCCTGGCGTTGTCGTCCTGGAACACCGCTTGCAGCAAAATGACGTTAAGTGACGGAATGACAAGTGGACCAAGAATCTCATCTGTACCGTAAAACCAGTCAGGTTGCCACGAATACGGTACAGAGGAATCCTGTGATGAAGAGTGAAGGCACCCCACACCATGACGGATTCTCCACCAAACCGGCCACATTCACTAACGTTCACATTGTGAAAGCGTTCTCCTTGCCTTCTGAACACCCGCGTACAACCATCATGAAACTGCAGATTGTATCGGGACTCATCGGAGAACAACACCCTTGATGACTGTTGACGATTCCATCACAAATGAGCCCGACACCCTGCTTCCCGTGCTGTTCTGTGACGAGGACGTCACGGTTGTCTGACAGCTGGACGTCTGTTATAGATGCCAGCGGCATGTAAACGCTTCCGAATGGTCTGGGCACAGACGTTGACATTCGTGGCCTTCCTCAACTGCAGGCGAAGAACCTCTGCCACAGAGCTGACGTAATGACATAACGGTCATCAGCATGTGACGTTGAACGGGGCCTTCCTGAACGTGGCGGGTCCTGCAGCCTCCCTGTCATCTGAAACCTTTCAAAAAGTCAGTGAATCATAGGGAGGATTTCTGAAGACGTCGAGCAACCTCATGAATCGAAACTCCACCCTGAAGCCACCCAATCGCCCTTGCTAGATCAAATTCACGCAACTGTTGTCGCATTTTGCACTGACAAAATCATCAATGACACTGCTGCAACGTGCCCAACTTCTTATACTCATCCACGCAAATGCTTCATTAGGATGATGTGATGGATGATGTGCATGGTTGCATTTGTGTTCTCTGTTCCCATCCAGGCTAAGGATTATGGTGTCAACAATGAACATTTTTGGCAAATTCTGGGTCTTTTTTATGCAGCAAAAACGTAACCAATATGGCTGTCATTAATAGTTAAACTGCATTTGTGAATGCTTCCGACGTTACTTAACTGATATTATTCAGGATGACAGATATAGTGTAATATTTCGAAGCTACAATTCATTACTACGAGAACACTATCAAAATAACAGGTGTTCCCATATTTCTTTGAATGAGTATATGAAGGAGATTATCTAAAAGAACAGTTAAGCATATATTCATTGTATTGTGCAATCTGCTGCAGAATGTTCGCTGCATAATGTATTAGCGTACAAATATATGTCATGCTTTTGCAGCATCTATATAGACGATTGATTAAGTCCTGACTGACAAAAGTAATTATTCTGTCGGAGAGTTATCATTTTCCATAATAAAATGCTATTTTATATCCTAAAGGACCCAAGATCTTGTTTCAGATAAAGTAAAATAACGCGGATTAAAGATAAATACATATTTTAGCAATAAATATCATCAGCATCACTTTACCTGCAGTCATCGCGTCAGAATTCGTAACAACATTGTTTGTTTGTGTCTGTTGTTTAACGACGCATTCCGTAATATTCCAGATATGACGGCGGTCAGTAAATAATTCGGTCTGGGCCAGACAATCCAGTGTTTGACATGATGAGAATCGATCTCCAAAGTTGGGATACGATACCACGTGTCAACCAAGTCAGCGAGTCTGATCCCCCTTTCAGGTTAGTTGCCTATTACGATAAGCAGGGTTGAATAATTTAACCCAGATCTTTGCGTCACATAGCTGGCATAATGCAGAGTGCGAAGGTTAGCGACAAACAAACCGATCAATCAGTTAGTAAGATATCTTAATGGAGACGTGGCAAAAAACACTGTCAACAACCTCTATGCGTTTATTGCATCTGCACATGTACTTTATCGTTAAATGTAATTGTTGATAAGTAATAGTTCATTTCTAAATTAATCATAAAAATATGATCATTGAGTACAGCATTGCTAAACTAAACTTTTAAATGGGTTTCCTTCTGAGCAAAGACTTATGTGAAGCGAAAAGATAGAAGCGTCAGTGATATTTCGAGTGCAGGAAAACTTTAGCCACTCTCTGAAGCAACGGGTATTCAAAGTTATCTGCCTTAATGTAAACAACGGACATGCCAGGCTAGATCGTTCAAAAAGTTTCGAAACAGATTGGTTGATCCACGTGAGGGCTTAATTCGGGACTCAATAAAAGAGAGTGGCCTACTTCAAGACATTTGACAGTGAAATATTACAGACACATTTGGGGCTTTTCACCTAACGTAGCTACAAGTCCAAAGGATGCTTCCTATGGAAGTAGAAGCCTGGCACATTTTGGAGCAACCAAAACGCCAAAGCCAAAATTACATAATATGTAAACCAAAATCACATAGTTTGGCTAAATTATTTCAGAGGCTGCAACTGTTGAGAAAAGTTATTTAATCCCAGGTTTGGTCTGATTATTTTTCTTGGATTGTCGAATCGACATGATGAATATCTCCGACTTGCACATCTTTCAACATTAAACTAACAATCCGGTTATAACTTGAGTAAAGCCCATAGATGTGTTTAATTCCTCATCCCATCATAATTAGAAAAATAATCTCTGAAAGGACTTGTGCTTTGTGATGAAGGTGCATATGAGAAAACACATTATACGTACGTGTGTCTTCGTCAAAGCATCGACGGATTTTGAAGGCATAGTCCTCTCCAGCAGGTACATCAATATAATTCAGTGTCTTCAGTATGCCTGGGAGGTCGCACTGGCTCAGCATAACAGGAATGATGAGATTTTCCTTTCTTTCCATAGAAATTCCAAAAGCCAAATTGCGTTCATGCTCACACCACCCACTCTCCACTGCCCCTGGGGTCATAACGAGGACGACCTTCATGGAACACATGATTCCTTCCTGTATTAACGAGCCAATGTCCCGACCTGGTGTAAAATCTCTTTTTGGCCAAAGACATTTCAAGCCATAGTCTCGTTCCATGGTGTTGACCAGTTTCTGTGCCCATGCTTCGTCATCTGGAGGGTCGGTGCAGTGGGAAATGAAAAGATGGTGCGTTTTTCCGTCAGGAAGCCGGGGGATGTCAAGATTCAGGGTGTTCCTTTTGAACGCTTCTTCCTCCCTAGCAGCTCTCTCAGCCTCAAGCGACGTTGTGCCAGGTCAAAGTCCTCTTCCTCATCTTCTTCCAGCTGGTTCAGGGTATTGGGATAACACGATGTGGCCATTGTTATTTCGCCAACGCCTGCAAGATTCCACGAATAATTTTATGTTGACAAAACGTGTTTAAATAACATTTGTACAGTGTAATATGATAACAATATTGGCTCTTAAGCTCACCTGCTTTCACCTGGTCAGGCACATCATACAAGTGTGTGAGTGAGTTAATATGTAGCGTCACATCGGCAATATCTCGCAAATCAAGACCACCTCTTCCAACTTTTCTATTATCAAACGTGAGGTCTCTTAAGAATTAACTTGACGAACTTTCGGCAAGCACAAAATATTTGTACGAATTCAGAGAAAGTTGCATTCTGTGTTTCACGGAGACATGGCCATCACCCTCCGTGGACAGTAACACCTTTTATTTGGAAGGATTTGGTACTCCAGTTCGATTAGACAGAGATTCAGATGCTACAGGGGAAATCTATTGGAGGAGGTGTATGTATGTATATAAATGAAAAGTGGTGTCGTAACTATCTTGTGAGAGAAAGGATATGTTCACCAAACATCGAACTTCTATCAGTGTCTATGCGGCCTACTTATCTACCACGTGAATTCGGTCAGATGCTGTGAGTGTCTACATACCACCCAGTGCCGATAATTCATACTTGGAGATTTTAATGGATGTACCCTGAAGTCTGTGCTTCCAACCTACAATCAGTATGTAACATGTACACGGAAAGACATGATCCTTGACTTGTGTTGTGGTAACATCAAGAACGCCTACAAATCATATAGTAAACCACCCCTAGGACCTTCGGACCATAATTCTGTATATATGCTGCCCATATATCGTCAAAAGTTAAAAACAGAGAAGGCTATTGTTAAGACTGTCAATTCATGGAACAAAGAATCTATTGATACCCTACAAGGATGTTTTGCGTGTACGGATTGGGACATGTTCTATGATGCAGAACAAACATTAGAAGGAATGTGTGACGTCATTACGGATTATATACTTTTTTGTGTCAACAACATAATACCAGAAAAAGAAATCAGAATTTTCCCAAACAACAAGCCCTGGATCACAAAAGGAATGAAATCTTTACTAAACGAAAGGAAACAAGCATACATAAAGAAAGAATAAAACTCAAATGCATACAGAAGGACATCAATCTTAAAGCTCGTGAGTGCAAACTAGCGTACAAAGAGAAAGTTGAGAGACAGTTTCAGCAAAGCAGTCTGTAACAAACCTGTCAAGGCGTGAACACGATGATTGGGCAGAGCAGGCGACGACAGACAACCAACGCCGGGGATAATAAGACCTTTGCTGAGGACCTCAACACTTTCTACAGCCGCTTTGATTCTCACGACGTTACCAATGAGACAGCTCAAGTTAGTGAAGCCGTACAGGATAGTGAAAGTCGTATCCATATATCAGAAGCTGACGTCATTCAAAGCTTCTCCAGAATTAACATCAGAAAAGCAAAAAGGACCTGACAGCCTTGACGGCATTGTGTCGAAGGAGTACAGACTTCAACTGTGTACAGTTTCCACTAGATTGTTTCAATTCTCAGTGAATACACACGTTATTCCTTCGGTCTGGAAAACATCACAAATTGTACCAGTTCCTAAAAAGACACAACCTAAAGAACTCAACGACTACAGGCCATTTGCTATCACATCTATAGCAATGAAGTCGCTGGAACGCATCTTGTTGAGACATCTCCGACAGGAAGTTGCCGACATACTGGACCCGCTTCAGTTCGCCTACAGGTCAAGGAGAGGAGTTGTTGATGCCACACTGTCACTCCTTAATAATGTCTATAAACATCAAGAGACACCTAAGTCACACATCAGGATCCTCTTCGTTGACTTTTCATCTGCGTTCAACACCATCCAGACATATATCATAATACAGAAACTGTTAGGTATGGGCGTTAACTCATACCTCATCAAGTGGATCGGAAACTTTCTTGTGGATTGACAAGGCTGGGTAATATCTCCTGTTCTTTTCACCCTCTACACTAATGATTGTGCAAGCTCGAATTCAACCTGTTCAACTGTGAAGTTCGCAGATGATGCAGCAATTGTAGGCAAACTGAAGGACACTGCTTCTGAAGAACTGTATAAAGAGGACATTAATCATTTTACGACTTGGTGGGCAGAAAACCACTTACTCTTTTATGTCACAAAAACCAAAGGAACTACTGATAATTGACTTTCGGAGTAAGCCCACAGAAATGCTTCCAGTGATAATCAACGGTGAATGTGTTGAGACAGTGTCGGAGTATAAGTATCTGGGAACCTTCATTGACTCTAAGCTGAACTGGAACTCTAACACTGAAGCCCTATACAAAAAGTGTCAACAACGTCTTCATGTCATGCGTAAACTGAGATCTTTTAGTGTTAACCAATCTGTGATGTCATCTTTTTATGTAGCATTAATTCAGAGTATTTTAACATTTTCCTTCCATTGTTGGTACTGGTCTCTCTCAGATCATCTCAAATCTAAAATAGTCAAAATTGTTAACACTGCAAGTAAAATCGCTGGAATCAGATTTGAATGTTTATCGTCAATATATGAGCGACAAATCGTGAATGAAGCTGTCAAAATTATATCTGACCGTACTCACTACTTAAATTCGGAATACAACCTCCCCCTTCAGGCCGCCGCTACAAAGTTCCAATTGTGAAAACTAAGAGAGCCCGTACATCCTTTATTCCAAGTACCATATCTCTCTTAAACAAATACCTAAATCAAAGAATTTATGAAAATATGTTTGGTATCTCTCTAATGTGTCAGTAGCTCTGCTGATGTAACACAAATTCCCGAAAAGGCATTAAAGCATTATTCTATTCTATTCTATCATGACGAGAACAAATATTACATTAAAAATACACCTTTTTAGAACATAAAACCCAGTCATCAGTATACGTCAGTTCTATAGTATAACAGATATTGAATTAAAACGAGCATGTTATCATGTTTTCTAAGATGCCTAGCGGTTAGAACAATCGACAAAAAAATACATTATCAGACAACAAAGGTATAGTTTTTTGATGACATAACAATTGAATGACGTTATCCCGTCACTGCGCCATTCTAGTGTGCCCCCTCGTAATCGAACCATTTTACATTACGTCACAATGTAATCGACGTCACGATGCATGTCAGTTGTCATGTCCGTTGCATCCCGTTTCTTGGTTTGCAGTTGCTTCACGTAGCTAACATCACTGGTGGAAACATTACGTTTATGTTTTACGATGGTTAAAATGTGTCAATTCGACTCACAAGTTTTCAGCGACAAGGTAACGTCTGCAATGTTTACATTCCCACAATGCAATCGTGGAATGTCGCTTGACTACTCAGCTTCATCTGGATGTACTGATCTAAACTTACGTTGGTAGTAGAAATGCGACGTTCATATTGTCCTATATGGTTTACGTTAATGACAGATGTATTTAAAATAATTCAGAGAAGATATTTAATCCGAACGTGAACCGTCATCAAACTGTTATCATTTGGGTTTTTTCTGGTAACGTTCGTCTTAACGTAGGGGGGCAGACACATCAATAGAACAGCACGCCAGTTAGCCCTGTGCGAGGATTCTTAATTTAGGTCACCGACACCGTCGTTTGTTTTTTGCCTTAAATTAATCTTAATTATCCTTAGAAAGTATTAAATTTGGCATTTTAGAACAGAAATACAGTTCGCTCTACCACCATGTATAGTGTAATAAAGCACACTTTCGCCCTGAACCATTATAACGTTAAAGCACTCGGACGCAAGCGTCCTCGTACTTTAACTATAATAGTTCAGGGCGAAAGTGTGCTTTATTACACGATACATGGTGGTAGAGTGAACTGTATTTCTTAAATCAAAGATACACCACAGAAAACAATACAACATACAAACAGGGTGTAGATCACGATCAACTGAAGGCAGGTCACCATACTACGGCCTATGGGGACTTACAGTACTTTTGCAACATGCATGGACCCTAGCTGGATTTACACTGTCTTCTGTTGGTTACCCAGCCATGTTGGCCTTTCTGGTAACTAGTCAAGGAGCTTATGGGATTCCGTGAAAGTTTTTTGATGAAAGCAAACCATATATTCTTTTGTGTTTATATGTTAAAGGAGTTTAAAAAAATGTTTGGTTCCAATCTGAATATTGATGCGAAAGCTATTTTTAGCTCAAAATCCAAATGGCCACCAAACTTTAACCGGAAACTGAAAAAGTTGGAAAAACTCGGAACAAATCAATGGTTTTAATATCAAATACCATGCATATTTGGTTACAGAATATATTTCCCATATGCTGTAAGTCACCAGATCTTTTAGTTTGATTATGTATTTTGGGTTTTCTTTTAATAAAACATGTCATGAAATAGAGAAACACACTTGGATAAAGTTAATAACCTCAAACTTTAAATATTCAAATCTCCCATTATGACCTTCTGACCTTTTAGCAACCTTTTCCACAACCGTTTTGTACAGTGCTCAAAAGTACTATTTGCACCATATTTCAAATTGGAACCAAACTTTTTATTTAACTAGCATGTCTGATGAATACAAAAAACACAATGTCTTGCTTTCATCACAAAACTTCCACGGGACTTGAATGCTGTACCCATCCTACCAGACTAACACCCTGATACTGCACCAAAAGCAGCACTCAACACCACGTCTAAACCCCTACATGGATTATAGGCCTGTATTCAGATGGTACATCAAGGACGGCATGCACGGAAAGTGGGACACCAAAGTTGGGATGAAAAACTGCATGGAATGAAGCAAATTATTTCTCGCCCGTGGAAGATACTGCAGTGTAATATTTTTACGGCAATATTACATTAGCGTAATGCCGCTGGATGTATGACGTCATAACAGTTTACAGTTATGACGTCACAATGCCTATACCTATGTCACAGTGGTATTATAACTTGCTTTTACTCGCTGAAAGCTCAGATTCATCATACTGTAAGGCAGTTTCTGTCAATAGACCGATCCAGTCCGTCAATCAAAACTGGCGCATGCGTCAATTTTGGCCAATCAGCAGGCCGGGCGCGCTTTGTGGATTTGTCAGACTTATTTCCGGGGTCAAACGATGCCTCCAAAGCGATGTGCTTCGAATTATGCCATTCACACTCGCTATATCTATTACATATTGCTGCGATTTCATTGTACCTTTAACACAACCATTACGATCAAGACAAAAGATTTGAGGCGGATAAAGTAGTGCGATAGGTCTCGCGATCAGTTAAATGTCGGCATGTATCGTTCACGAAACCTACGTCTGCTCGAAGATGAGAATTTGTATGAATTTCCACACTTTCGCACACATGCAAAATCATTACCAATGAATGACAACAAATAGCAGTTTAAGTCTTTGCAAGTGTTATAAACATGGACAATTTTTGTAACTACCAAAATGTTTTTGCTTAACATTTTTGGTCAATACTGGGCATTGAGTTGGTACGCCATAAAGCTGAAATGAGACAGGCGAGAAAGCCGTGACACAAAGTAAACAAATCTGACAGCGATCTGATTTCGGTTAGGGTCGACCGAAATGGCAAAACTTGTTACATTAAAGGACAATGTGGTGGATATTGTTACCTTTGCTCTTAGATATTCTTAAATTTGTCACACATTTTTGGATGTTTTATAGTTTCACAAGCACAATCTGAAGGCCTACTGACAGTATCTGTTAATAGTGCAAAATATTCGAGGAGTAATATTTTTTTAGTGTCAGTGTCAGCAGTTGCCTATCCAAATATCAAAATTAATTCAAATGAGTGTCTATAAAACCATGCCTTAAATATTTTAGAATTTGTTTAAACAGATGGGACCTTGAATTGAATTATACCTTACTCAATGTGGATCGGAGACGAAAACTATGTGAGAAAAATAGTGACTTTCTGGAATATTAAACGGAGTGAAATAAAAGTATATTTCTTAACTATGAGAACATTATTTGTTTTGAATTTTTGTTACAACATAATGTTTTTACATGTAGGGGAGGTATATTGGTACATTTTAGTAGTAATAACAGAACTGTCATTTTAATCAATTTACT